CAGCAGGAACTCTGTCAATCTGTCAGTCTAATTTCTACTAATTAAAAAAAAGTTATAATTAGCTTTAACTCATCAACTATGCTGTTTTGTTGAAACCTTCTGAGAATTCAAAAAAAACCCCAATCTATTTTGAAAAATTCATCGATATTAACATTTCCCACAAACTTCCAGGCTCCAACTGGCATTTTCCGATACAAATGCATTCAGTGGAAAAGCTCCTGACTGGTTGTCTGCAGGGTTTCAGAACACTCACCAACCTCCAGCAGTCTAAATTGCAAGGTACAAATCAGAAAACTACAGACAGAAAAGCATTGATGTTCTGCTCCATCAAACACGATTTGTAATGTAGCAACCTAACTGATTTTATGACATATGGCCAATCCACAGCTATTCCAACCTACACAGCTGAAAAATCCAAGAAATCAATAAAATGTCCAGTGGAGACAGTTTTAACGAGGAATGGATCTGTCATGCATGACGCTTTGTAACTCCATTGAGCAATATAAAGAAATTCATTAATGAACCAGTACTATACCAGTCTACTGGAACCATATTTCCGCAGGGGTAATTAAGCTTCTGTGAAGGTCAACAACAAATGGCACTGTTTTTTGTGAATGCCTTTTTGGAGTGGGCACATGATGTTCTGCCAGACAGATTCTCATGCTGGCATTCCACTGGACCAGGAAGAACACTATATAAGGAGATTTTTTTTCAGAGGCCTGGGGTTTTTTTGATGAGATAGCTCTCCTTGTTTTTACAGGACACAAGCAAGAATACACTTAAAATTTCAGGACATGATTCAGCATGACATTTTCTTTGCAACTTACCCTTTTGTAAAGCATGTGGATCTCCGGCAGGTGGGTTTAACAATGTCTAACAAGAAAGCATAGCGCAATAAGGACTTTGGTGGTAAGAAATACTGACTCATTTCTTCATTTTCCTCTTCCAAGAAATCTTTTAGCATTTGAATAGAAGAATCATTGTCCTGAACATGTTTCCTTTCCATTTCTTCTACTGTTTCAAGCTTAAAAAGAAAAGCCTCTTTCGGTAAACTCTTCTTGCTGCTGTAATCAGGACCAACATTTGGAACCAGATTCTTCTCTTCAGAAGACAAGGAAGAACTAGCTTCACCCACTTCATCAGTGACTTTGTCCTTGAATAAGTCTTCTAGATCCTGATCTGGGAATCTTGTCAACATCTATGAACAAATAGTGAGAAAAAATTAAAGAACTGCATTTGATAAACAACTTGACAGCCAAGTCTGCAGTGAGAATTCCTTCAGAGACGCTCAGAATAAAGCAAGTAATCATTTGATATTATTTTCATGAAGATTTCACTAAATGATCAAGATCATCAAGATTTGCTGACCGCCCCACAACAATGTCAGGAAAAAATGCAAATAACTGCCTTTGCAAAAAGACCTTTCCAAGGGTGTGAAAAAGGTAGCAGAATGCATTATTTTCTAGACCACCATCAGCCACTATCCCACAACTGTTTAAAGCCATCTAAGCCACTGGCATGCATTTCAGTCCTTAGAAAACTCAGTATCCAGGCTGAAAAAAGAGACAGAATTTAACTTTTCTGCTGATATCACTTATCCACGTCTCCATTCATCAACACACATCACTAAACTGAAAATTTAACCCTCAACCTCCATGAAACAAAGCAAATTCAAGTAACACTTAGACGCACCTGACCAGGAGCTTGAAAGGAAAATGGTTCTCGGTGAAGCTTTGCAATTAGAAAATATCGCAGCCTAGAATTGGGAATGCCAAGCTGTAAACAAAATCCACAAGCCTTTAGTCCACGTGATAGAGAGAAAAAGTGGTCTATAGCATCGTACAAGTTATCTGCCACTGTATACAGTAATACAATTATGACACACTAACATATTTTGTGACTTCAGAGATATCAGTATTAATTGATAACACCTAAACACTTATAAATTCTGTATCTAGGTATTTTCAAGGAAACAAGCAGGCAATTATTCTTTGTACCTCACACTTTTGACTTTCCCTGTAAATGAACATAAATGTAAACAAACTTTTATGCAAGGTAGGAAAAAAAAATTACATGCATTACAATTTCTTGGGACAGGTACTACTGTTTTCTACAAAAAAGCAAAAAGGTGTTTCCTTGCCCTTTTGAACAAGGAATTATAAGACATCTGACAGTGAAACAAATGTACCACAACTGATTTTCAAGCTACCCTCTATCAGCTTTTCTCAGATATATACACTACTTCACCGATACCATTTAGTCTTGCACAATCTGAAATCTCTCTCAACTCTTTTTCTCAGTTGCCAGGGAAACATGCAAACAAAGCCCCTCCTCCCACAAATAACACAGTCACATTTTCTGTCCTGGGAAATTCGCAGGCATCAGCACTTCTGAAGCAATGAGGCTCCTGCAGGGAAAACCACCTTCCGGCTCATGGTGGAAATTCATACCTTCTTAAAAAATATCAAATGATAGCAAAGAAATATGGGACTAGGATCTGAATAATAATGGCAGTATGATTATGCCAGTATACTGATGAGAAATCAGAAGTCATGCCAGATGGCTTTTTCTCATCTTCAGCTCTGGGCATAACTCTCTTTTCTAATACAACAGATCATTCTCAAATGTTCTTGGGATGAGTGCAGTTTGAACAGTCAAATGATATCAGAGCAATTTTAGTACTCACACAAGTTGGAGACAAGAGAAATTCCTGATATTTAAATCCACATGTTGCTAGTGTTTGCAAAAGTTCATTTCTGGCAATGAAAAGAATCAAAAAGCAATTATTCCCTTCATACAACCCTTGGGCCCTTTTATATCCTAAATAAAAACACACTAAATGGAACACCTTATGTAGCAGGATATTCAGCACATTAAGTGAAAGAATTGGACAGAGAATTACAGATATGAAGTAATCTATTTCTGAACTTGAGGAGACAACATACAAACTTCAGTGTTACTATAGTCAAAAATGGCTATTACACATTCACAGGTATCTCACACCTACTTCAGTTCAAACATCCTTTCAAAAAATATCCCATCTCTAGGAGAGTATTTAGAATGTGTCAACAAAGAAAATAATCAGACAGCAAGAGATTTTCTTTATTGTGAATTACAAAACAGGAGATACAATCCACTACAAACAGCTCACTACTTCCCTCTGTTCACATACACGGCATCAGCTAAGCCTAACAAATGGGTTAACTCGTGGGATGACAAAAATTTGTGGCTTTGATAATAACAGTGAGGTAGGACTGTACCTTCTAAACAATGGAAAATCACTGAAATGGAAATCTTCTTTAAAAAGCTTGTCTTTTCTATTCTATGCAGACTGCACTAAGCTGGAACCATACAAAAAGCAGGACCTGTACCTGGCACTATATGTGACATGGCACCCCAGTGTCATAAGAGAAGGAAAGCATTCTGACTGGGGTGTTTTCTGAACTACAACTTTTTCCAAATGCTGGCCAGCAAGGCATAGCTTAGGGAATCGCAGGGCTTACAGCAGCGGCCTGCATCTCCAACAATGTGTTTGGGTGTTCATGGAGGGCTGCTGCACACTTAACCAGTGAGAGAGCTAAGCACATCTCCCAGCTGCCCGCCATATTCATTAAGCAGCATCATATGTAGGCTGGCTGCTCTCTTGGTGCGTTAAGGAATGCTACGGAAAGATCCTACTCTGCACCAGCAAGAAATGAGAAGGAAGACCACAACTCCCTGTCTCCTTCTTTGTGTACAAGAGAGAAGCATGCTCCTGCTGTCATTAGATTACCTTATTGACAACTTTCCTCTTCTGCATTTCAGACAAAGATAATATACAGGCTTCATACTATATCTCCAGACCATTTGATGGCAACCCTGAGCTATTGATAACCTACTATCAGCAAAGGTACTGAAGAAAGTTCCTATACTGTACTGTGATCTTAACACAAGATACCATGAGCTCCTGTCACAGATAAAAACCCAGAACCTCTGAGTGCTACACCTATTGTTATTTTTCTTTGAAAATTAATACTCATTCTTTCTAAAGGATACGGGATCATCAAATAAAATCAATGGAGTCAACTTGTTATAATATATTCTATCTGCTTAGACAAATAGATAGCTATTTAGCAAGTTATTTTCACAACCTAAGATTTTCATTCCTAAATTAAAACTGTATTTTTTAACCCACAGCTGCTAGTTGTCCCATCTCACTCTACTTGTTAACTTAAAGCCCAGGAAATAAGATTCCTGCCTTCCCCTTCTAAAGAAAATGTCCTTTATTAAAAACTAAAAGCTGCATAAATTAGACTTCACCTTGCAGAAGAGGATTCAAATCCTTTAACGTTTTCTAAGAGTAAGTATTTTGGAAGCTTCTGGAGCCTACAAGGGGAAAAATAAAAGATCAACAAATCAGAGTTACAAGATGTAAACATTATAATCATGCATAGATTTGTTTAGCTAGAAGAAAGATCAAAGTATTTCCACATCATGCTAGCTGCTCAGAACCAATATTCATCTAATCGCCCTAAGAAAAATGACATGGTTAGAGCTCAAGGTGCAGATATTCTCAATTTTCTATACTTAACTTTTTCATTTTGATGGGGGGGCGGGGGAGGGGAAGGAGGTTCCTGAGGTTTAGAAAAATCAGTGCAGATGTCTGGAAATGGGCTCATTCCAAAAACAGCATATTAAATCTCTGGAGAACAGAACATGCCCAAACTGTGCCAGGGACCATTCTAACAATTTAGAAGCATAGATGATCCAGATCCAAGTCACTGGAAACATCTCCTGGCACTGATTAATTCTCTAATAAAGCTAATGTAGACATAGTATGTCTGCCACACATTGGGTTCTCAGAGCAGCCTATAGAAACAGGATACTAATACCACCAGACAGACGCTCCATGCTTATTTAAGCCAGTAACTGACTTTGGACTTCCACCAGTACAAATCACAGCAGGATTTGTTTTAGCACATTGTTAACTACCATCATTTAAAGAAATTCATATGAAGAATTAAAGAACTAGAGCATTTCACAAGAAATTGGAAAATGTACAACATACTACATCAAAAATACTAAAAATAATAGCGAAAAAAAGATACTGCACTGAAAAAAAGCAGCAGCAGACAAATTTCCCTGTGGAGGAACGGAGAATATATCTGTTGCTAGGTCTACCCACACTCAACATCATCATCACCTACTATGAAACTTATTTTGAAGTAATGAATCCAGAGCATAGGCTGAAATGCAAGAGCTCATACAGGATCAACAGATCACAAGACAAGTAATTACTACACAAAGATTATGTGTTAAGTACTTGGCAGGTTTAAACATTACAACTGTGTCTGTAAAAGTAGCACTTTGACATCCTAGCATTAGATTTCCCTGGGTTATTGCTTGGACACAATAAATAGACAGTATCCAGACCATTTGGGTCAGACTTTGCTGGCTGGGTGCTCCAAGGACTTCCTGGGTCTTTCCAGATCTTGAAATTGCCCTTTCCATATCTCTAATATTTGTCTTCCCAGGCTCTCTTGGAGCCTCATTTCAGCAACATTTCATTATAAAAGGCCGAACATAAGGTAGAACAGCCAATGAATGAGAAATTATTTTATTGTTTCCATAAACTGAACGCATGCCATACCAATTTAGAATGCAATATGAAAATTCCTATATTAAGAATTTCCCTTTTTGGGCTATGGAAACATTCCATACTCAATGTCTGGCAAACATGTCATATCCAAAAAAATACACAAACACTATCTCAGTAAAACATAAATCTATTGGAACTGAGAAACTCTGCAGAAGCCACCATCTTGAACATGTTACAGACTGCTTACATTGAGTATTGCCTCAAGAAACAACCTGCCTAAGGGAGATAAGGGACGTCAGAAGAGTCTCATGGAGTGGTGAGATAAAGTGCCACAGCCAAGCCCAGTTCCTTTGCATCATCATGACGAAAAACATATGTCCTGCAGTGTCTAAAGCTTTGGTTTCAAGAAGGAAAAACTCCTGTCCTTTATCCAACTAAGTCCATAGCAACCAGGAAGTAATATCTCCATATTAACACACAACAGTGTCCCAAAATCAGCCAGCCTCTTACCTGTATCTCAGTTTAACTTAAAGGAATACTGAGGTCAGGATTCCCTTAAGGATAAGAAAGGTATTATTATCCTGACAAATCATTAACTTACACACTATATCTGCTGGTTTTAATTTATCATTTCAAAAGGTCAGTCTGGAGGACTGAGTTACATTCCTGTTCTAGAAAAGACATCCTTTGCAACTTTTGGAAACCCATGTTGTCTCCCTATTTTTGTGCCTCTGCTAGAAGCTGGAGAGTCATAATCTTTCTAAAAAGAAAGATCGTCTAACTTACTAGGCTACAGAATCTGTATTGTGTTCTGTCTTGTGTTCTCTGCCACGGATTTCTTAGGTGACCCCGGCCAAGCCACTCAGCCCTTCTGTGTCTGTGTTCTCTATTCACTGATGACAAGGGCAAAGAGGTGGTTCTGTTTAGTATTGCTGGCTGCAAAAAAGTTAATGGAAGAAGGATGAAGACCCTCTTCTCCTGGTGTTAACAGCAGAAAGCCTGTTAAAGGCTCTTGTTGATACTGGTTTCCTTCTGTGCAGAAAATACTCACTAAAAAAAAAAAAAAAAAAAAAGACTGCCAAACCTCCCTTTGTCCTCTTCCAATTCTAAGAACAAGATTAACCAATCAAGGAACATAGAGAGAACAGCTGTCCCAGTCTCCAGCAGAAACAGGACTGCCACGAATGGGAAGTGTCTGGTGGACTGTGATGCAAATTCTTAGGTTCACGCCAATTGGTGCATAATAGACATCTCAATCCAGAAGCAGAGATTTCTGCTGGATATGTCCCTGAGCAACTGCTTGCTCCACTTCCCCAGGAAGGATTCTTACAGTGCTATGCAACTCTTCCCAAAAAAGACTAAAAGCATTATTTGGAGCTGATTTTTAACACTCTCAATAATACCAATTTAGGTCAGAAAAAAAAAAAAATACTTGTTTGGATTTACTGTTTCAAAATTTAAGGCATAAATAATACAAATAATTAGGGCTACTTTATTAGGAACTGCGGTCTGACCAGGCAAAAATGGCAGACCAATAAAAAGACAAGGGCACTCCTCAGACAATGCTGTGCTATTTCTCGAAACAAGAGCTTGTACTACAAACCAAAAATACATAATCTGCCCCAAGATATCCAGAAGCAGCACCAAAAAGACAGAATAGACACTGTAAGAAAGAATGGAAGGGGACAGAAGATGTATCTTATCGCACAGTCAAGAACATATTTAAATAAACTTTCAAATGTTACCTGTTCAAAAGGTGACTAAATGTTGGATCAAAGCTTTTTTAACCTGGTATTTCAAACAATGCTCATGTTTCTATGATGCCCATTAGTAAACTATTATATTACCTACTCCTGCTTCTAAATAAAGCTAGTGCAAGTTTAATGTTGAACTGAAAATAAATAACTTTTTTTTTTTCATTTATGATATAGCCACAGTTTAAACAGGCACACAATATAAAGAAAACCAAACAATGAAAGCATATATAGTAACTATGAGATTATAACAGCATTAGCAAAATACAACTTTTTTAAGTTATCTATGATGATGTGAAAACAAACAAGGAATACAACACAATACTAGTAGCATCCCTGTAAAACATTATAGATGACTTGTCTCACTGAAATATAAAAGACCTACTTAGTTATAACAAAGGCTTAAGAACTGAGGTAGAAGTCAATTTATACCTTGGGAGAATATCAAGGATATAGAGAAAGCTCTTTGTCCGTGGATCGGATATATCACCTTGCAGGCCAATTCTAAGAAAGAATAAAGAAACACCTGTATATTACTTGGAGCAGACTGACATTTGACTTACATTTTTCTACAGAATGCTGACACTTTTTGCTTTTAGTTTCAACAAGGGATTCTGCAAAAGCATTATGTACAGACATGAGGACCTGTTCACAGAAGCAGTGTCCTAAGAAATGCTCTAAGGACTGAAAATCTGTCCCTGGAATCCATCAACAAGGTTAAAATTGAAGCATTCAGTAATGAAATACACTCCACAGTTTGCAAAGGGTTTAGCATTCTGCTCTTGTCCAGCAAACCCCTTGAACATACTTGGCTCTGAAAGAAAAAAAAAACCAACAACCACTGGCTTCCTGGGAATACCCTGCTATTTTACATTTAATATATATTAAATTATTTCTATGAATTAAAGCCTCAGTGCTCACCATTTTGCAGCATTGAGCCCCATGTGAATAACTTTGTAACCAATTTTGTAATATTAGACTGGACAACTCATGCAGGTTATAAAAATGATAATATAATGATTCCAGGCCTGTGTGCCAACTTCTATTTGTATTAGCTCTTTAAAAAGAATAAAACCTTGGTAGAAGAGCTTCAGCATGTCTCTAAATTAATTAGTCATGCACAGATTTTTCTTTTCACCGTATTATGAAACAAAATTTGAAGAAATGATTCCTATATACATCATAGGTTTGCACAAATTCATTTTTATAGATCAGCATCACTTTAGAGAGATTTCTTTTTAATCTTAGAGCATTCAATGAGATATACTTTCTTAGACAAGCAGTTTCATTACCATCAACAGACTTTTTCATTAAGCTACTACTTTGTATGAGTACAGTTACTAGAATCTTACCTCCACTGATCACTGATGTCAAACGATATCAATTTGAAACTAATCTCACAAACAACATCTCAGCAAGTTCAGTTCTTAATCAGCAAGATACTTTTCTGTATCATCCACAAAATCATTTCAAAGACAATATCCTCCTAGTCTTCGCCCAAACAGAAATGTTCCTCAGAAGAACTATTTGTGTGCACATGCAATTTTCAATGTACAAATAAAAACAGACTGCACTCTTAGCCTCAGGCAGAAGTGAGAAATTCAAATCCTCCTTCTGCAGTTGCCCCAGGAAAATATTAGATTGACATCTAAAGAGAGAGGAAGCACTCTTAAACAGCAAAACCTTTGAATTTCACTGTCAGAGGAACAACATAGCATGCAAATACATGCTGTAAGAAGCTTACTTAATGTAAACTGAATTAAAACATATATTACAAGAAAAGTGATCAATAAATAAGATTCAAATTGATGCATTTCATCCACTTCAGTAAACACCATGGTGAACAGAGCTACAACATTTTTGCTTAGGAAGAGAAAGATACACAGAAGAACCACAAAGTGTTACTCCTGAAAACATCCCTCCTTTAAGAGTACATAGTGTAACAACCACACTTTGCTCCAAAATGTGCTGTATCTACCTTGTAAATGGCTGACAAGGAGGACTCATCAAAATCACGTCAAAAGATAACCTGTCAAATTCTTTCAGTGTTATGCCCTGAATCAGGAAAAAAAAAAAAAACAAAAAAACAAAACAGAAGAATTTTGAGTGTTGTAAATTGTATCAAATTCTCAAGTCATCTTTCGGATCAAACTACCCCTCTTCATTTCCACTATATGCTTCATCTAGCAAAAACCTCCCTAATTTCCCACTTGACCTAATAACTTCACTCTTTTCTACCTTGGCAAACCATACAACGCAAATATGCATTAATTGCTTTGAATATGAACCAAAACCACTCATGATCTCTATACATAATCTTGAGGGTTTTATCTACTCATTCTTTCCGAAGAGATGTGTAGTGGTTCTTTCAGTAGATCACATCAAAATACTGACGATATTTCTCTCCATCCCTCCTCCAAATAAAGTATCATTATTCAGAGATTAAGCCTTTGCACACCAAAACCAGTATTAATATATTTCTAGCAGGTGAAAAAAATATTAGATCTCCTCAAAGACAAAATATGTGAACAGTAGCTCAAGTGCTAACATGATAATTTTTTACAGGTCCAAACTCACTAACAACGCACACCGTAAACTTTACTTCATTCTAGTTTTGCCCAGTAAAAATCCCTCAAAGATATTACATGTCTGAAAGCTCTACTCTGCAAAAATATTTCTGTTCAGAGAGGAGTGAGGTCTGTAGCAAGAACTAAGTACAGAGGTAGAAGTTCCTCTAGACTAAATTTTAAGCGACACCAGGACAACAAATAAGGGCCCAAGAGGAGAGAAGGATAATGATCAAGTAATATTGAGCTAGACTAAGAAATCACTGCCTTATGTGTTTTGAGGAATATCTATATAGCAAATGTAACATAACTGCCCACAGAAACCAGACAAAAGCTGCTATTTTTTTACAGTAAATTTAAAGGTCTTACTGACTGTAATCTGCTCTTATCTGCTATAAGACGACATAAGCAAGCATTTTTCTTTTTCCATATAAAGCTGTAAGCTACCATTTAGCCTGTAATTATGGAGTGCTGAATAAGCAGCTAACCTTTAGCCACCTACTTAAGTCTTACTTAAGCTGGTATCTCAAAACAAATTCAGTATCTTTTACTGTCATGTTGTAGAACTGTAAAAGAAGATTAAGAAGTATACAGTAATTTCTAACTAAATCCAGGCAAAACCACATGCCAAGTTTCCCTTGATTATTAAAACAAAAGACAATTTTACCTAGATCTTCTTCAAATAATTTGGAAAAGGGACATAATTCCTAAAACATTTGATCCATTGAGCCTACAAAAAAATGCAATACTGTCCCATCGAGTATATTTACTTGTGTTTTACTCAGCTTAACTATAACTACAAAACGAAGGCATGACGCCAAGTGATTTAATTAAATTCTTTCAAAAATACAAGAAAATATTTTTTTAATCTAAAAGTGCTATTTTTGTCATTCCTTTTTTGCTGGTAAGCATTCCTCTTGACATCCATGTAACCTTTCTTGATGCAGCTGTCAAGACTTTCAGGAAAATATTGCAGTGTGATATCCTTCTAACTTCAACAAGCAACCACAACATAAGAAATCAAAGTTATTGTAAAACTGCTATATTAACAACAACATAAATTAAATATTTTTGTTTATCTTGTTACTAATTAGGACAGTGAAAGCAACTCACTTCTACAAAGGCCAAACTAGAGCAAAAAAAGATATTTGTTACTCACCTCAATTGTCTTTGCCCATAATGGTGTGCTGGGAAAGTTGTGCTTATAAACTTCATTGGCAAGAGTGTTCACATCAACAGCAGCAACAACTTCTGCAGGTGTGCAGCTTTCTAAAATTAAAAAAAATAATTTGAAAGTTGTAGATTCTCTTTATTACTCTTGGAAAAAATGCATTGCTTCACTTGCGTTACAGCTACGCTCAAAAATAAAAGGGAAATCACATGATCAAATTCTGCTGTGCTGCCTTTAAAACTTTACATGAGATATATACGCGTTACTAACTGTACGGCCAATACTTCCCTTCCTTATATATCCAAAAATGGAAGCTAACTGTGCACTTCTTAATTTGTAGATACAGTCACACATAAACTGCAAACAGGGCACATCTCTACAGTGTTCCCACTTGCACTCAGTTGGTCTCTGTGGTCACCAAGTTTGTTAGCTATAGGAACACAGCCTCCTGAGTCAACCTGCCTAGCCCCTCTGCCACTGCCCGAGACTCTCCAAACCTACAGGAACGAAATGTGTCATTTCAGAAGTATACTACTTCTCATTGGGAAAAAAATGGCACGAATAAATATGTTTGAGGTACATCTACTCTTGCAATTAAACTTTAAGAAGTTGCCTGAAAAACATTTGTGCTTATATTCCAATAAAACCATGGGCCTTCAACCCAACTGCTGCCTCCTTTGCGTTCAAGGTCCCCAAAATACCAAACACCTTGAAGGACAACATTTGGCAGCTCCTCTTCTCCTGATAACAAAGGAAATACCTCTGGACACTGTTATGGAAAAGAAGAGAAAACAGTGTAACAAATCTACTGACAACTAAAATCCTGAAAGGAAAATACACTAATAAGAATGTAAATAAGCAATGGTTAATTTATTGTGTAACAGAATAACAGGTTCTACAGAAGCTAAACACATAAAAAGAACAGTGTTAAATCCACTGCTCATCGTGTCACACTACTTATTACTACTAACCACAACACCTTCACTGCGGCTTTTTATCCAGGAAGATAGGCTGCAGTCACTGCTACAGCCGCAGGCAGAGAACAGTGACCGTACTGCCTGATGTACAAGTCCAGTTTCAACCATCAGGAAATCTGCATTACAGTCACCATTACAAAGTCCCAAATGAAACACAGGTGTTTGAAAAAACATTTTTGTAAGCCAAAAGAGACAAGGCAAATGCCAACATGCCTTTGAGTAGTCTCACAACACGCTCAAGTAACACATTAACAAATGACCCTTAGACATCTTACAAATCACTGTTAGCTAATTATTTACAGTTTGGGAGGATGAAAAACCACCTATGATGTCCCCAGCTGATTTAATTTTGAGTGATGTTGTTACTACCCATCTACTGTCTGTCAGGTTTTCAAGGCCATCTTATTCAAAACCAAGATGAAAGAGAAAGACAAGTATTAGAAAGTTTGTAGCAAACATTTTAACAAAGATCAAGGTGGTTCTCCTGGGTTTACTTGGTGCAATAGAAGACAAAAAGAACAGGAGTTTCACAAGAAAAATATTTACAAATGGCTGTCCATTAAGGGTCAACATACAAATTATTATTTGCAATTACTGTCTTGATGTTTTGGCTGTAAAATGTAACTGAAGTATTAAATACAGGTGTATCCACGAGGACAACAGAATGACTACACCTGAGGTTACAGAACAGGTATGTTAACACTGACATCTAGCGTGAAAAGAACGTCACCTTAGCAGGTTGACTGTCTCAATTTACAAGCATATATTCAAGAACCAACGCTTTAATCTTCCTAAAACAAAGCCATAACACCTAAGTAATGAGAACAAATGTCAAGTACTGTTTAAGGGACTGCTTTTCTCATTTATTCTTTCAGTTCTTAAAACACATTGTCCTGACAAGCTGATCCTTACTGTGTGTTCCAGGCAGTCCAGAAGGAAAAAAAAAAAAAATCAAGAACTTCATATTATTATCTAAATTAACATATAGTTTAAAAATTACAATTGGAAAGGCAGGCAGTGTGCTTTCACTCACAGCTCATGATTCAGATGTTCATCCTTTTTACTAACATCAATCCAATCTCTCCCTGAATACGTACAAGAAAAAAGAAGTACTAGGGATTTGCATCAGGGGACTTCACAGGCCCAAATGCCTGGAAATACTGAACAAGAGCACATAGCTAATACTAATTTATTGAACTCCCTTGCAATATAATGTTCAGTCTAAAGCAGAGATGTTAACCCACATGGAAAAGGGACAGGAACTTTTCCTGAACTATTCCACCAGACATCCTCTCTTCCCAATTCAAAGATCTGATAATTTTTTCAAAGCTTCTCCTTCTTTTCACTCAAAAGCTGTGGCTCACTTGGGAGTTCCTGCGAGAGAACAGACTCCCTCTAAAAGCTGATTAAGCGTATTTGTGTGGAAATACCCTGGAAACGCATGAAGGAGCTCAAGCAGACAAGCAAATCTCACACATCCAGCCTAACAAAGAAAAGCTTGTGTAAATTTCAAACAATGGGAAAACTAAACATTTTTAAAGAACTCCTCCTCCTGAAATTTAAATAACTTTGATGTCAAACTGTGATAATCCATTTTGCTATAGCATTTATATTTATTACTTGAAAATGACTGCAGCAATGTATCATATGAAAGACTGAAAGCAGAACCTAAAAAAAAAAAAAAAAGAATCAAGACTGTGTTTAACTATCTGTACTGACAAAAGGCACAAAAGCAACTCAGGAATATGAAAATACCACTGAACTGCTGACTTAGTGAGATATTAAATCAACCCCCCAAAATATATAGCAGAGCTTCAACACAGAAACAGATACAGCTCTGGAGACTTTTTTTTCCAAATAAATACTTCCAATTTTCAAAGCACAGACATTTAAGAGAACTACAATAATGCAGAAGACAATTTAATTTTATGCAAACTAAAGAATAAAATAATATACATTTTCTAAGTGAAACTAAGTAGCTGCCACAATACTTGATTCACAATATTCCTCAACACCACAGTTTTTAAACTGAGACTTTGCATTTCTGAAAGATGTTGTAGCTCAAAAGGAAGCCACAGACATGATGGGGAAGTTACTGGCGGAGGTGTTATGGCTTATTTTTTGGCAGACTAGATTGTAACACTCTCTTGGCTGAAAGCAGCTGAACTCAAATTTGTATCACCCTATAAGGAAAGTACTGGGTTTGCACTTGAGTCTTAAAACCTCTAGGTGCCACAAAGCAGAAACTCTTTAACTGCTATTTAAATTGTGTAAAGAGGCAGCAATCCAACTTTGGGTCCCAGCTCTCTATTTTGTTGTATACACAATGCTTAAGAGTCATTTCAGCTGTGCAGCAGTCACTCCAGTGAAAGGGACGCTGCTGCAATGACTGGAAGGTGTGGCATTTGAAACAAAGGAAGACAGGATGCATGTGTTAGCTTCTGATTTGGAATAAAACAAACCCACAGGGTGTCATCTTCAAAAGGCGAACATAAAATTTTTGACATGACAATATCTGTCCCTTTCCTCTTCAGAATCAATTCCTTTGTCATGTGTTTTTAGCAGACCTCAAAATTAACATAGGCCTGTTTATATTCACCGCTGTACTTTTGTAATAGAATCATCAATGTCGGCAGCGCATATGAAACATGCGGTGTTACACCAAGGGCAGAGCCTGAAGGATCTCAGCATATTGGAAAATCAGAGCCAGAACAATTATCTATTCCAGCAGGTATATGGAAACAGATGGAAAAGGGAAGATTAGTCACATGTTTTGTCAGTCCCGTTTCCTTTTAAAACAGAGAGCAAAGATTTAATTTCTGAGTTGTCAGCTCTTGGCTGAAATGATCAGGCTGACTTGCCCATGGCTACAGTCAACACGACTACCAATGCTTGCTTCCTGCAGGATACTTAGCAACTTTTCTCACTGCTCTATTTGTACAGGATTTGTTCATGTTCAGCCATATAAACTATTTAAATGTACATTATAGCACAACTGGCACCATCCTGTGCTACAGGTTTTGTATTTTAGACAAGCATTACATCAAAATGAGTTCCAGTGTAAAAACTTGCTCAAACTGGCAATATTTTTGTTCTGTATTCTGCTGAATCCTAAAGCTGCTTGCCGGTTTTGTCTCCTTTGCCTCTCCTCCTGAGATAACTATGCTGAGTGTAATTACACACACCAGTTTATTATGCTGTGCAATTCACAGAGATAATAAAATGAAATTAATAAACAGAGATAAGAGTACAAATTCTCACCCTCTAAAATTTAAATCTAACAATAGCAGAAGAAAAAATAACACCAATTTTATCACTGCAAAATTATGGTATTTTTTAAAAGATGTCCTTTGATGTTTTATGTACAGACACTTTTTCCAGTGACCTGGCAGATTACAAACACTTGTGGCAGAGACCTGGAACCCATTTTTCATTGGAAAACTGCCTAAATTAATAAGACAGTTTGTTTTGGTTGGGAATGAAGAAGAGCAGGCTGATTGTTTGATGGAAAGTTGCTAAGGAAATGAATTTGTAGCTATATATTTTCTAAAAATAAAACACTATTTTTCACTGAAGAAACTCTGCGCTTTTATAAAGAATACATTCACACACACACACATATATAAAAGTATCATAGGTTTAGATGTATATGATCTAAACGTCAACCTTTATAAATCTCAGAAGCTTTGGAGGACAGGGTGGGAAGAAGGAAGAAATGCACTTCCATCTCTGAGCTGCCTCAATCTTTCAAGAGTGTGAATACGAAGAGACTTGCTGACTTCTGATTTTAATCAAGCTCAATTTTCTAAAACAATTCTTTTTATGTCTTTGCTGTTAAACTACTATTATAAAGCATTCCAAATCTAAAACTAGAAATTCTGCACATGCTGAAATCTAAATTCAGGAACAACCTTCTTTTCACTGTCAAAAAGAACCTGATTCAACTATGTAACTATGTACTAAACTTCTCCATACTGTTCTTAGAGAAACACTTATAAAAGAGTACAAACTTCCATGAATTTATTAAAATTCAATTATTTCTTACTGTAGGCGAGGACATTCTCAAAACCAGTTGTATGCTACTTGGTGCCAAATGCATTCTACTTTAATGACAGCTGCCA